TCAGGTATGAGCTAAATCAAATCCCTTATGGTTATACACTGGAAGTGAGAAAGAGATTTAAGGGACTAGATAGGATAGACAGTGCCTGATGAACTATGGATGGAGGTTTGTCACATTGTACAGGAGGGAGGGATCAAGACAACCCCCAAGGAAAAGAAATGCAAAAGGCAAAATGGCTGTCTGAGGAGGGCTTACAAATAGCTGTGAATAGAAGAGAAGCGAAAAGCAAAAGAGAAAAATAAAGATATACCTATTTGAATGCAGAGTTCCAAAGAATAGCAGGAGAGATAAGAAAGCATTCCTGAATGATCAGTGCAAAGAAATAGAGAAAAACAATAGAATGGGAAAGACTAGAGATCTCTTCAAGAAAATTAGAGATACCAAGGGAACATTTCATGCAAAGATGGGCTCAATAAAGGACAGAAATTGTATGGACCTAACAGAAGCAGAAGATATTAAGAAGAGGTGGCAAGACTACACAGAAGAACTGTACAAAAAAAATCTTCTTGACCCAGATAAGCACAATGGTGTGATCACTCACCTAGAGCCAGACATCCTGGAATGTGAAGGCAAGTGGGCCTAAGGAAACATCACTACAAACAGAGCTAGTGGAGGTGATGGAATTCCAGTTGAGCTATTTCAAATCCTGAAAGATGATGCTGTGAAAGTGCTACACTCAATATGCCAGCAAATTTGGAAAACTCAGCAGCGGTCACAGGACTGGAAAAGGACAGTTTTCACTCCAATCCCAAAGAAAGGCAATGCCAAAGAATGCTCAAACTACCACACAATTGCACTCATCTCATACGATAGCAAAGAAATGCTCAAAATTCTCCACATCCACCTTCAACAGTACATGAACCGTGAACCTCCAGATGTTCAAGGTGGTTTTAGAAAAGGCAGAGGAACCAGAGATCAAATTGTCAACATCTGCTGGATCATTGAAAAAGCAACAGAGTTCCAGAGAAACATGTACTACTGTTTTATTGACCATGCCAAAGCCTCTGACTGTGTGGATCACAACAAACTGTGGAAAATTCTGAAAGAGATGGGAATACCAGACCACCTGACCTGCCTCCTGAGAAATGTGTATGCAGGTCAAGATGCAACAGTTAGAACCGGACATGGAACAACAGACTGGTTCCAAATAGGAAAAGGAGTTCGTCAAGGCTATATATTGCCACCCTGCTTATTTAACTTATATGAAGAGTACATCATGAGAAATCGTGGTCTGGAAGAAGCACAAGCTGGACTCAAGATTGCAGGGAGAAATATCAATAACCTCAGATATGCAGATAACACCACACTTATGGCAGAAAGTGATGAAGAACTAAAGAGCCTCTTGATGAAAGTGAAAGAGGAGAGTGAAAAAGTTGGCTTAAAGCTCAGCATTCAGAAAACAAAGATCATGGCATCTGGTCCCATCACTTCATGGCAAGTAGATGGGGAAACAGTGGAAACAGACACAGACTTTATTTTGGGGGGCTCCAAAATCACTGCAGATGGTTACTGCAGCCATAAAATTAAAAGATGCTTGCTCCTTGGAAGAAAAGTTATGACCAAACTAGACATGTTAAAAAGCAGAGATATTACTTTATCAACAAAGGTCCATCTAGTCAAAGCTATGGTTTTTCCAGTAGTCATGTATGGATGTGAGTTGGACTATAAAGAAAGCTGAGCACCAAAGAATTGATGCTTTTAAACTGTGGTGTTGGAGAAGCCTCTTGAGAGTCCCTTGGACTGCATGAGATCCAACCAGTCCATACTAAAGGAGATCAGTCCGGGGTGTTCACTGGAAGGACTGATGTTGAAGCTGAAACTCCAATACTTTGGCCACCTGATGCAAAAAGCTGACTCATTGGAAAAGACCCTGATGCTGGGAAAGATTGAGGGCAGGAGGAAAAGGGGACGACAGAGGATGAGATGGTTGGATGGCATCACTGACTCAATGGACATGAGTTTGAGTAAACTTCCACGAGTTGGTGATGGACAGGGAGGCCTGGCGTGCTGCAGTCCATGGGATCGCAATGAGTTGGACACAAATGAATGACTGAACTGAAGTGAACTAAAGGGCAAGATCTTGAAGGTCCATGGAGGCCAAGCAAAGTGGTTTGGATTTCATTCTATGTTTTAAAACAAGGAGTAACACAACTTAATTTAAAGCATAAAATGGTTCAGGTTACTGTTTAGGAAATGTATTGTGCAGGGTAAGAGAAGAAACAAAATCATTTGGAATACTAGAGTGGTGATCAAGAACTGAGAATAGGCTGAGATGAGAATAGGCTGAATTTGCTGATATTAGAAGAGAGAGAGAGAAGTGGATACCTTTGTAGTCTCTATAGTGTTAAGCATGGTACTTTGGACATAGTAGACACTCAATATATATTGATAAATAAGTGTCTAAGTATTTCAAGATAGTTCTACTTTCTTAATATCTATTTCATCTTCAAATTTTTCCTTCTTTGATTCACATATTATGACCTATTATACTCCTGTCTGGCATTTGGGGAGTCAAGAAAATAAAAAGAGGACTTCACTTTCAGGAAAATAGCATACATCCCAATGGAAAGTCAGTTAACAAAGAATTAAATAATGGAAGATCATAGAGTTAATTATGGAAAGAAATAAATTACTTGGAATGACATTTGCTCAAAATTCAAAATTCTATGATAGGATGAAAGTGGACTGCTACTGCAAAATCACTTCAGTCGTGTCCAACTCTGTGCGACCCCATCCCTGGGATTCTCCAGGCAAGAACACTGGAGTGGGTTGCCATTTCCTTTTCCAATGCATAAAAGTGAAAAGTGAAAGTGAAGTCGCTCAGCCATGTCTGACTCTTCGCAACCCCATGGACTGCAGCCTACCAGGCTCCTCCGTCCACGGGATTTTCCAGGCAAGAGTACTGGAGGAAGGAGTATTTAAATACAAAGATCTACATTTTAAAAAAGAGAGCCTCTGTCAGCATCAGCTGGAATAGTGTGTGCTCATAGAGAATATGGGAAATGTTGGTTTTCATTACAATTAAAGACATTTCCAGTTCTAACTAACTTTTGATTTTTCTGGAAATGTAAAATCTTCATTTTGCCATATTGATAAGTGAATTTTCTAATAAGTAGCTGGCATTACTTATATTATAAATCTAAGATTGCTGAATGGGTCCTGCCTTGTTTCTAAATTAGGAATCTGAGAAAAGCCAGGCAATTCCATAAGTTCTCATGTGCACATTCCCATATAATTCCCAGGACATTTAAATTTTTATCCATAAAGATTCATCTTGCATCATGAATTCAATCGAAATTGTTTCAACCCAAAGCAAAATCCAGATGAAAATGGGATCAATTTTTGCCACTTTCCAGCTAAAATGCTAAGTGGCCCCCGAACTGTGTGAAACTTGGCCCCAGTCAGTGTGAAAACTGGCTGAAATCTGTATGAAAGGCAGTCTGGGTTCGTCAAAGTAGTTCATGAACTTTGGCCACACTTGCAAGGAAGCTGGTCCAAGTCTTAGTTTGCAATGCAACATGAAACCAGGTGAATTTCACATGGTTTCGGGTTTCATCCTGAAAATTTGGCTTCGCTTTATAATCAATCATCATGTTTTGGAACGATGAAAGCCAACACACCTTTTTGAAAATGAGGACTGTGCACTCTGATGACAGCCAAGCTGTGAACCACCCTCTCACGTCCTTTGCCAAAAGATTTCTTAGAATAGAAACAGTTCCTCTCTTACCTGGACAGGGCAAGTTGAGTGATTTTGATATTGCATGTAGAAAGAAATGATACTCAGTGCATGGGGACATGCCACGAGAAATAACTGCCACATACAGAGCAAGTGGTTACATTCTAATCATTGAAGGTTATGAGAATTTTATTCCATTCACATCCATGCCACTTATGATGTTTAATCCTTGACCTAATGGGAACTTTCAACTGGACATCAGACAGAAAAACTGCCATGAGAAACAGAATGCTCTGAAGCATAGTCATTATTTCTACATGGCGAAATGGCAGAAAAATAGAAAGGAAAGTAAATCATACCATAATTTTCATCTAGGTTACTAAACAGGAGGAGTAAGACTACAAACTTTTCAAGTTTTCATTGACTGCATCTTTCATGATGCTGCAGTGTAAGTGAATTCCATAATTAACGTCACAGAGTGAATTTTACAAAAAAATCTACACAGTGTCTGTTTTCAACCTGAAAGTTTTAAAAGTGCTTTTCCTCTGTAAAAAAATGACTCTCTTCAACCAAATACTTGCGTTTGTGCATAGTGACATGAGAAAATTGAGAGGTATGTCTGCACAGAGCCACTACATCATTGGAACAGTATGTCTGAACATTTGGGTAATAAGGCGCAGATGTGAGGCAAAGGACTTGGCACTACCAAGGTAAAAACAAAGCATTCACCACTGCGTTATGATGGGTTAAAAAGCCACATTGGAGACAAATAAAAGAAGGCCCCTCCTCCATGGAATGCTACATGATATTATACCTTTTATCTGTTTAAAATTCTATAAAGAATAAGAAATTCAAATAACTATTTTTCAAACTTATGAACAAAATATATAAAATGCATTAATATTTTCATCTATAATACAACATATTTATGCAATGGCACATAAAGTTTAACTGCAAAAAAAGCAAACTCAATAGGAATCCACATGGCCTCTATGTTACAAAACAATGCATACTAATCTGAAGGACCCAATAGCCAATGGAACAGTGGTTGTTGTTGACTTTTAGTTGTGATTCTGGCCCTTAATCAGAAGGGATCATTAATATTGTAGAGTGTCCTATTTACAGGCATCAAGTTAAGATAATGCAACAAGATATAAACATTAGTTATAATTAAGGCTATTTCAGTTATAAGTGATATGGTATTTTTGTTAGCCATTACTAAACCACATGACACAGCATAGTTATGGATCCAGGACTACTTTAATTCAATGAATTTGGAACTAAAAGCTAATTTTCTGCCCAGGAAAGGAAGAGAACAACTTACCCGAGGTCCCTGATCACCCTGTTCTCCCTGTAGAGCAGGAAAATGAGAAGATAGATAGTTTTTAGAATAAAGTCTGTATATGATGTTCATTAAAAAGATCTAAATGTAACATAGTATAAGTCAGGCCAGTATGGATTATCACTAAATTTGTTTCTGCTATATATTTTCTTACCTTGTCACCTTTTGGACCAGGAGGGCCCTGAAATAAGGAAAAAACAAAGAGAAAAAAAATCTTTAAATAAATTTTAAAATATAGCTTGAATAGATCACCTAGGATTAGTCACAAGATTCATGCAAAGGACACAGATTTGTATCTGCCAATGAGGTCTCTCAAGGAATTTTAGGTTCTAAATTATATATAATTATATATATAATATATGTAACTATAAATATATAATTTATATAGCTATAATATATATAATTATATATATAACTATAAATATATAATTATATAACTATAATTATAATATGATTAGAATGAAAAAATGGTATTATATATATATAAACAGGAAAGCATACATGCCCTAAGTATATAGAATGCTGAGTAAATTTTCACAGGGTAAACATATCTAAAGCACATAGAATGTAGCTAAAGAAACCCCAAAGCTCCTGTTGCGATGTTTCCTTGTTACTTCTCACCACCAATAGTAATCACTATTCTGACCTTTGATAGAACAGTGCCTGTTTTTGTACTCTATATAAAGTGTATTCATATAAATGGAATCATCCATTCAGTGTTTTAGCCTCTTTTGCTTAGCATGTGTGAAATTCATGCAAAATTTTGTGTGTAGTTGTAGATCATTCTCACTACTTTATAATATCACTCTGTGTGAATAAACTATTTTTTATTTATTTGTCCTACTATTGACATCCATTTGTTTCCAGAAGTTTTTAGGTCTTGGTTATTACAAATATGCTGCTATAAATGTCCTAGTGTATGCCTTTTGCTGAAAAACTATGCATTTCTATTGGGTGTATATCTAGGAGTGGAATTTTTACATTACAGAGAATACATGTGTTCAGGTTATTAGTTAGTAGATACTGTTAAATAGTTTTCCAATATGGCTCTAACAATTATACTTCCATCAGCAATATATGAGAATTTTCAGTTCCCCTATATCATCACCAATACTTGGTATTTTTCATCTTTTTCATTTTAGACATTCTGGTGGGAGGTGTAGTAATTTTACATAGTGTTTTAATTTTTGTATTTATCCAGTGATTAAGCTGAACTCTTTAATAAATGTATTGGCCATTTAGTATCTTTGTATCTTCTTCCATACAGTATTTGTTGATATCAATTTCTATTGAGTTGTCCTATTATTTGCTAGAGTTCATTATATATTATACATTGGATATATTAGATAGATAAGAGCTCTTTACATATCTGAATATGAGTCTTTTGTCAGAAAAGAATATATTTATTACAAATATATTCTCCCACACTGCATATTGAGTTTACATTCTCTTAAAGGAGTTTGTGATGAATAGAAGTTCTTAAGCTCAATTTAACATTTTTTCTGTTTACAGTTATCTCTTTTAGTGGTTCACTTAAGAAATTTTTGCCTCTTCCAAGGTCATTTATATGATGTGAGGTCAAAGTCAAGATGCTTTTCTCCCCCATATGGCTGTCAAATTAACCAAAAAACATTCACTGAAAAATGCCTCCTTTCCCCATCAAAGTACAGTGTTATCTTTGTCATAAGTCAGATGATGGGTGGGTCTTCTGGGGATTTTTATTTTGTTGGACAGTTGTCTATTATTCAGCCACACTGAAATTTTTTTTTTACCTTTGAACAATAATGCTAGCAGGAAACATGAATTCTAGAGGCATAGATTTTTTTTTTTTTCCTAGCTCTCAAAGTTTGTAAGAGCTAAAGATGCAGAGAGCCAATCATTGGAAAAGACCCTGATGCTAGGAAAGATTTAGGACAGGAGGAGAAGGGGATGACAAAGGATTAGATGGTTGGATAGCATCACCGACTCAATGGACATGAAGTCTGAGCAAGCTTCAGGAGACAGTGAAGGACAGGGAAGCCTGATGTGCTGCAGTCCATGGGGTTGCAAAGCATCGAACAGGACTGAGCGACTGAACAAAAACAAAGATGAAGTCATGTCTCAGGACTCAGCCTACCAGAGGAGGTGGAGCATTTCAGCTACCTTCAACCTCTCACCGTCCTCTTTAGCAGGGCTGGGAGACAAACACAAGTTAAGACGGGGGTAAAGCCAAAGTCCTAGCAAAGTGTCCCTAGGTGGGAATGTAAGAATGCTCTACCTACCAAAAGATATACTGCTAAACACGAGTTACAGAGGAGCTGTGGTGTTGGAGAAGACTCTTGAGAGTCCCTTGGACCGCAAGGAGATCCAACCAGTCCATCCTAAAGGAGATCAGTCCTGGGTGTTCATTGGAAGGACTGATGCTGAAGCTGAAACTCCAATACTTTGGCCACCTGATGCGAAGAGCTGACTCATTGGAAAAGACCCTGATGCTGGGAAAGATTGAGGGCAGGAGGAGAAGGTGACGACAGAGGATGAGATGGTTGGATGGCATTACCGACTCAATGGACATGGGTTTGGGTGGACTCTGGGAGTTGGTGATGGACAGGGAGGCCTGGCGTGCTGCGGTTCATGGGGTCGCAAAGAGTCGGACACAACTGAGCGACTGAACTGAACAGAACTGTGCCAAATACCCACTCTGCAGCACTTCTGGTAACAGCTGTAAGGTTAGCATGACATTAACAAGAACATCATGTCTTCTATTTTGTACATTTTGCCATCAACAAAGGACTTCCACATGTTACAACATTTACTCTTCTCCCAATCTAATGAGGAAAGTATCATGATATCCCTGTTACAGATTCCAGGAATAAAACTTGAAGATTATCAAGGTTAGGTCTCTTGTAAGTGAGGTGGGCAGGACTGTAAGCTAGTCTTGTGTGACTTTAAAAGCAGTGGATTAGGGTGCTAAGTGTTGGGATGCAGCTCTAGAACTCGATTGTGAGAAAACCTAATGGGTGCCTGCTTTCACTAGTTGCTGTCTTGAATGCCTCCCAATTGCCTTTCATAGTGTCAAGGACAGCAGCCTCAAGATCTCAAGTTCAAAATGTGGAAAAGAGGAATTTTAGAGCATCTGGGAGAGTGAGATGGGCTAAGATAATGGAAGCAACTTGACAAACCCTTTTCTTTCTTATGCCCTGATAATTTTGCCATTAAAATGGGAACCTAAGAAAAGTATGTTTCTTAACATTTTTCTTAATATTTTCAGTGAATCAGGTAGCATGTAATGAGAACAGTTTGTCTGGTATCTTTTAAAATTAAGTTTAAGAAATATATTGGTCATTCTTGACACACACAGAATGCTCACTAATGCTCTACAAGTAGGATTTTGTTTTTGGTGGAGCAGAGGAAACCCAAAGAAAAGAATAAGAGGATACCTAGCATCAAATTTTAGAATTACAATGGAATTTCTGGTCTTATTTGATGAAGTAGCATGTTGTTTAACTAACTGGTTTTTTATATACATTCAGTGAATGCCTATAAAGTGTTTGGTGATGTTCTAAACACTGGTGGAGGAGATAGTGGGACACGCTGATTTAGAAAAGCTAAACAGACTCTTCTGGAAAAGCTAAATAGCCTATTGCCAAAGTCAAACACTTCTCTATATACTGGTATTAAGAAAAACGACCCCTAAAACAGCCAGCTACTGTAAGGTCACTTACAATCACTGCGAACTCGTCTCAGTCTCTCCCTCCCACTGCCACCAAAAGATTCTTTAAAATTTAGTTTTCTTTCGTGTGCAAGATTTCAGAGGCCAAGCTTCTCATTGTTTCCACCCCCCCCAAATTCACTTTGTTAGCTTATATGGCAGGTCTGAGGTCAAAGCTTTCATGAAATTATTTTACAGTGGGCAACAGAGATGACTCTTTTCCCCAAAGTCCAATTACTAATGCCAAAGCCACATGTGTCCACTAGAGTCCTTTAGACAACTTGCCGTGAGCAGGGATGCTTAATTCATGAACACATGAAAATTTGCATTCACAATTGAGCAATAAATACTGCTGCTTCAAAAGGGAGTGTTTCTGAGCAGACAGAATGGCGTCCTGGCACCTGCCAGCTCAAGACAGAGCTGAAGCAGAGGTCAGCCTCCATCCACAGCTGCGGTAGCTGCTCTGGACACTCCAGACCCCATTTGTGCTCCTGGGATTAACGCAGGTGTTTTCTTCTGCTCTGAATGAAATCCCACCCTTCTTTCTAAACTGGATCCTTTACACTGCAAATATGAGTTAAATGTGCAGAAAAACGTGAGCTACCTTAGCAACATAGGTAGTATTTCAAAGTTTTGTAGCCATGATCCTTTTAAATTAAAATATTAGAATTGAAAGAATGGTTACTCTGATTATTAACTTTTAAAATTAAAGCTGGGTCATGATTTAAGTTTTGTGTTTTGTTTTGTTTTTGTCTTTAGAGCAAAACAAAACAAAATCCCCTGGTGTAAACTAAAGGATAGGCAGCAATACAAATTAATGAATTATTTGAATCAGACGATTTTATAATGGCTTTTTGCTGCTCCCACCTACACTGAGCTAACAATCTAATATTTGGTGGACAAATATGTTGTCCAGGTATCAGTATCAATGGTTGGTGGTAACTACTTGAAGGTAAAAGCTTGTTGATAAAACAAGGTTGAGGTCAATGGGATTGGTAAAATTACTCATCATAAATAGGTGAATAGAGTCACAGCTTTATATGAGGCTTTTTTTAGGATTCCTGTCCTTCTGATCTTGTCTAGTATGTTGAAGTCAGATTTTTAATAATGTTTACTTTAATAAATAAATAAAAATATTTGAAATAATCTTTATAAGTAGTTTTATGTAATTAGCTCTAATTACATAAATTTGAAGGAGTTAACAAAATCTTTATTATTAGTGTTGTTACCTAATAGCTGGTACATTTCTTTTAGAGCATTGTTAGTGTTCTTAACTTACCACCAACTATTTATAAATTTCAGTGGCAAATTTCAAATTAGTTCATATTCAAATGACTTCAATTACAGAACTTAGAGCAACAAACCTATTTGTAACAAGACTTTAATGTGGGCCTATAATAATTTTATTCTCTTAAATTCTATTTCTATCCAAACAACTAAGGTTTCAGCTCTTCTATCACAGTCTATTATCTACGTCAATTAAATGACAAAACCAAA